GGAAACCAGGACTTGCTGCAGTTCACATGGCTGAGGGATGAGGTGAGCTTTATCTTCTTTACCCTGGGCCACAAGCTGGGCTGGGGTCAGGCACAGGGCCATTGAGCCTCATGATTCCTAAACGCTTTTCCTAACACTTTTCCTAATGCTTCCCTTCCTACGGTCCCGCCTGTTGGGCCTGACTTTCCTTATTCAGCAGTAAAGGGGGGGGGCATTTAGGTACGTAGCGTAACTTAAGGTAGTTAAACATTACATTGTTGAAATAGTGGTGTCAGTGGTGAAAAGCACTCCTGTTCACTTTGGAAAAGATGGGTAATCTAATTCATTTTACCTTTATTTTTGTATAATACCCTTGGAAACTGCATTAGTACGTATTTGGCAGGAGCATTACAGCAGCTCAGCTGCTCTCCCCAGCTTTGCAAAGTGAACATTTTCACTCAGAGGTGAGCTACGCAGCGTATTTCAGAGCTGAACAATGGAGCTCATGTTTCTGGACCAAACTTTCTGAAGAGAGAACACAAACAGCTTCCCTGTTTACACAACGCGGGGCCGAGCTCGGGCTCTGCCAGGCGCTGCGGGCTGTGCACAGCCTCCTCCTCCTCGGTTGCACGCACACGGCACCTTCTGGGAACACCGAAACAAGGCCTGCAGTGTCTGCTAATTAGATATTGCGATCTATTTTTTCCCATCACTTGGGGTACTGCCGGAGCCCTTCCCCGGCGGGTGGTACCTTGCTGCTCTGGCTGCAGGAGGGTTTTCACAGACACACTTTGTTCCTGAGCAAACACGGCCGGGGACGGTCATCTGCCCCACAATCAGCAGCGCAGCTTTATCAGTTATCTCATCCTCATTTGCAAATAATAACGATAAATGAGCTGGCAGCCCCCGCAGGCCCACGCGCTGAGCTCTTGGGGGGGGAAAGCTGCACTAGGCTGGAGATCCGGGGGGACCTGCCCGGCCCCGCGTGACGCCGGGGCCGTCACAGCCCGGCCTCTTGCCAGCCGGTGCGAGTCCGAAGTCCACGTTTCTGGCACAGCCCTTGCTCTCGAGAGCAGACTGAGTTCGCCCTCACGGCATCCATGGGCTCAGGTTCATCCCACCTGGGCTCCTCTCACTCACTTTTTTTCCCATTCATGCCACTGGGGACAGGGACACGGGACAAGCGCTCACGGCTCCTGGCAAACCCCAGATAAGCCATCTCTACACGCGAGGGAGGAAGAAAAGGCACTATGCCTTGCATATTTCTGCAGCAGTAATTAGCCACTAATTACTGCACTTTAGAATTGCTCTGCTAATTACTGTACTCCTGAACTTTTGCACTTGCTGGCTCCAAAATCTTTTCCCCAGTGCTGATAGCATCGCGGTTAATTGTCCTCCCAGGCAAACAGGGAGCTGGCATGGGAACAGTGGAGCTGTGGCAGGGAAGGAGCATGCGGCAGCTTCGGCAGCACCACAGCTGCAGCGCCCAGCGGGGTGGGGACCATCGCCCGCCCGTGGGCACCAGCCCTGCCAGCACCCCGCACCCTCCTTGCACCTACCAGTTGCCATGGCCCGTCAGTGCTGTTTTCTCTCATCGGGGGGAACCGTGTGGACATCAAGCCGAAAGGCGATTTCTGCTCCTCCTGGAGACCTGCGGGATGCCAGCTGCTCCTCTTGTCCTTTACATAGCGAAGTTTCCATACAGCTGCCCATGGGGAGGTCAGATGTATGGTCGTCTTGCAGGTATTTACTATGTGCACGCTGACTGCTTGAAGGACTACAAATATCAATTTCCAGTTTTCACTTATAATCCCCAACAGCCAAAAAGGCACATTTTTACTGTATATACCAACTAAAACATTTTAATTAAAAGAAAGAAGAAAGTAATGCTTGCAAAAAATCTACTCCTCACAGGCACCTTCCCCCCCCCCCAAAAAAAAAAAAAATTAAGCAGAGCAGTAGGGTAACTTTGGGTTTTCTCTCTATCATCACATCCCAGGTAAGGTAGCTGGCTATCCCTAACCTGGCAAACAACTGTGACCGTTTTGCAGTGTTGCCTTATTTTACACATCTAAGCACACGTAATATAACTCATACCAAGCGCACAGGATCCCACTATTAAAAGGTGAACAGGTAATGATTCATCAGCTCTGCTGCCACCACAAACCATGTGCGTGCTTTTAATTACCTGAGAGGTAAAACACACTCTCTCAGCTCTCGCTGAAGGCGGTTCAGGCTAATGGCAGGTGAGGAGCAGGCGCACGGCTCCCTGCAACCCTTCAGCTGCTGCGGGCTACCCCATGGGGCTATCATCATCATCCGCACGTGTGCCCACGTCCTACACCTGCAGCACCGGTTTTCAAGGCAGGGACACAGGCTGAACCCCTCTGTCTCTACCTTCTGTGCTGTTATGCACTTGTAATTGCTTAACTGCAGTGGATAAGAGTTGAGAAGTTTGACATTTAAACCAGTACCTGGCAGTGCCCCGTAAGGACGGAGTATCTGCCCAAATCCTGGATTTAGGCCAATGAGCTACAGGAGGAGAAGGGACAAGAGAAGGACCCAGCCACCGCCGATGCCCCTGGTACCGGAGCTCTAGTGGGTCTGGCACCTGGGAAAGGCTGCAGCTGATGTTCCAATGGCAAACACAAAGTTGGGCATGACGGAACGATGTGGATAGCCAACAGCATCAACACCTTACTTAAACACTGTGGTTGCTTTCCCACTGAAAGGCTGGGTTGTCTCTCAACTCAAAAAATGAATGAATGCATGACCAGGAGATCCAAGTTTCTAATTAAACTGGAAAGTTGGAAAGCATAATGCCAGATTTAGCCATGCTGTCTTCCAACACCTCGTTAACCGCAGGGCATTCCTCTCGTTAGACTTCTGCCACTCAGAAATTACCACCGCAGGTACACACTTGACACCCAACTAGGGAAAAATGTCAACACTTTGTCTGAAAAATAATCCCTAAGGAAGCCACAGTAATTGCTTCAGACAGATGAACAAGCAAGGATGACGCTACCCAGAGAAACCGTACTCGCTTTGGAGTTTTGTCCTTAGGGTGAGAGGTGAGGGGGGGGGGAAGACTGGTGAGATTTAATAAAATTATTACACTTGAAGATCTTTCCCAGTAAGTGTAGTGAGCGCAAGTGTGTTGCAAGAGGGTTTCTGGAGCGTGTCGGAAGGAAGGAAGGAAAAGCAACCGCTGCTGCACGAGAGGGTGAGCTAGGGAGGCACGGCTGGGCGGGGAAAGGACGGCGGCGTTCGGATGCTCAGTTAAATTTACAGCATTCAAATCCAGCAGCAGCCAAGGGCACCCGGTGGGCTAGACTTCAGCCTTTTTCAGCTACAACCTAGTGCTGTCTCCTGGCGGATCTTGCCAGGATCTTAAAAGCTTCCACATCCTGAAGAAGTGGAAGGAGGAGGTGGTGCAGGGAAGGTAGGGTCCCCTGTGATCCCACAACCCCTTCTCCCCGCGCTGAGGTCTGTGGCATCCGCACACACAACTTCACCAGGGCTCCAAAGCCATACTTTTGCCTCCACGCCTATCAAACCTCTCGGGTTGAGGGCATCCCTGATCAACGCTTTTCTTCCACGACTGCCCAATCCAGAAGTGCTCAGAAAAGGGAAGGGCAATAAAGGGCCACAGATCCCAGCCGGGCTGCGCAGCACAGGGGTTTGTCAGGTAGACCTAAAAATCTGCAGAGATCTTAACAGACC